TAGGCCCCGCATTGATTTTTTTTTTTACTCCACTGTTCAATGGATCCCACATATATTATGAGTCTAAGAAAATAGTTTTTTGTCTTGTAACATGACAAAACAATTCCCCGTATAACAATGTAACGCTAACAACTATCAAATGATTTTTATGTAATACCAATAATGTAACGCGCCATCATCAGGTACGCGTCTCTGACACAAATATGAAAAACACTCTATACACGAGCGAAACACCAGATATATAACTCTCTTCCCATATCATTTCTTAGGCATATTCGTCCGCTGCAATTTAAAGTGTAAATTATTATATTTTTTTATGTTTGAAAAAGAAATTAAGTTGTAGTTTACATTAGGAACAATTCAATCACCTTCTTGAAAGTAGCTTTTTGTAGGCCATAAACATAAGCAGGAGAAAATTAAAAAAATTGTGCGGAAAAAGTAACCTTTGTCCACCCTTAATCATGTTCAACCCATGAATCATACAATAGACATGTTAGGGGTATAAAGTTGATACCTTTATTCGGATAACTATTCCTGATCAAATGCGTTCTTGATCAATTCTTCATACTTGGAGAACACAAGTCCTCCGCTGAAAATCCATACCACCTTATTGTCTTGAAAAAGAAGAACGCTTCTTCGAATGTCCAATGTCCTTTAATGGAAGTTGCTAGACTCAGAGAAGAACATAGAGTCAGTGGTGCCTTTGGTTATTCCAAGAGAGGGAGAAATAGCCGCCATATTGATGTGTGTGTTGGCTAGGGTTTCAGTGGAGAAAATTAGATGAGAAGAGTTATAAAACTAAGGGAAAAAAAGGACTATATATATATATATATATATATGGCGCCTCATTAACTTAAGACTAGGTCAATCAACGCCCTTATCAAATCCTAATCTTATTGGATAATTTCCTTATTTTATCCAATCAATCCAATTGATTGGTTTTCCTAATTTTAGCCAATTAATTCAATTAATTAGTTTGCTTAATTTTAGCCAGTCAATCCAATTGATTGATTTCTCAAATTTCAACAATTAATTTAATTAATTGGTTTCCTTAATTTTGATCAATCAATCTAATAAATTGGTTTCCTTTATTTTTCCATCTTCATTAAATCTAATTTAATGACTATATTTAAATTCAAAATTCAAAATTACAATTTAAATTAATTTTATTTAAATTCAAATTTCAAATTCAAAATTAGAAATTAGAATTCAAATTATTTTTATTTAAATTCAAATTTCAAATTCAAAACTAGAATTCAAATTAATTTTAATAATTTAACATTTAAATTAATTAGGTTACATCATGGATCAAGTCCAACTTGGCCCATGATGCCACCTACCCTCTCTTGGCCCAACAAGTGGGCTTTTCCAACTTAGGCCCATTATCCTTTACTGGACCCAAACCACAGATGCTATAATTCAAGACAACTTAAGGTATTTGTGTGCAACCCATCAGGCCCAACATAGCTACTAACATAAATGGGCTTGGGCCCATTAGACCCAATCCATCTAATGACAACACAGAGCACTAGCAATGCTTTGTTGTCCCAAAGCTAGTTGAGTTCAACGAATGATCAACCTGTTATACCTATTTGGTTACCGTGTGAATTGTCCTTTTGTCTCGGTTATTCGTCCCATTGACCTAGGTCTAGAAAAATGTATCAACTCCTGCGGTATAGGGTTAGCTTTTGTCGAAACAAGGAATCTTCATTTACGGACTCTAAAGAGCGGGCTATCTCATGACTCTTTTACTATGCATAGATTCCCGAGTCCCGTAAATGTCATCCTGATTTCACCGATTTACGGATAACCTAATCTCTCGTAGAGATTGACGAATTCTTTTAGCTTATCACACTAGCCCTGAGTCCTTAGGGCATGCCCAAGAGTATACCTACGAGTCTCCATGTTTCAGGCAGACAAGGTATACAATCAAAGCAAGCCTTCCAGAGTCTAAGGAAAGAGACACCCAAATAATAAGAGACATTACATATTGATACTATCAGTGAGATTTCCTTGTAGTGTCTCTTTGTGGGTCAATTCAGTTCGATTTATTCTCCAATATGTCTACCCACGAGTCAGCTAAGACATCTCCATGTCTGTAGCTTATGAGGACTCTACCTTGCATCTCCATGCAAGTAGTTGAGTCGTGCTAGTCTTACCCGAGATCACCAATGCCCATTGTCGATATCTCTAGATTAGGAACATATTTCTGGCAATGGACATATGGTGTCATTGAGCTCTCATGATCGTGATCCCTATCACAGATCCTCAATGTGACACTTGTTCTATTCTAAGGGCTTTATCTAGTTACTCATATTCAATATTTGAGACATGTAATATGAAATAAGATAAAGAATATTTTTATTCATAAAATTTATTCATAACAATAAAGAAGTACATGGGTCCATCTAACTCTCAGATTGTCTCTAGGACACCTATGTACTAACACCTCTCATATCATTTCCTACGCACCTACTGTCATTTGAAGTTTTTTCTTTTACTGTTTGAAAAAAAAGAGTTTTGTAATTCAGAATTAGTTCAATTGAAAACCTATATCATTTTTTACGCATATCAAGGGAAATTTCTTTTTAATTTTTTTTGTTGTTTGAAAAAAAAGGGTTCAAATTTAGAAATAGTCTGTGCACTCATATACTATAATGGTAGAAAAGCTAGTGGTCGTCATGGTATAACATTTGAAGGTAAGAAAAGAACAATGGTATCAGTCGTGGTACTAGCTTTGAGTAGTTGAAGGGAAAAATTCATCAAAAATTGGGATTGTAAGGGAATCATTATGTTTCTGAAGTAACAGTTAAGGCTCTTGCCGGAACTAATGAATACACAATGATTTCAATTACAGATGATGCTGTTGTTGATATTATATTAGATATATTTGTGGAACAACATGAAAGAACTTCTGCTCAGAATAGTGGAAAGAAGTTTGTTGAGTTATATGTAGAAGTTGTAAAAAGCGTAGGATTTATCGATTCCGATTCGGTCATTTGATCTGAATACAACACTAGATACTGATAATGTATACAGGTATGCATCGTAATGAGTACCTCTACCAACGCGCAGCAATCCTATATTTGAGGATGAAGACATCTCAATATGGGTCAGTCACGATGATGACGTAGAGGAGGAAGACGAGGACGCCTGTCTGGCTACTGATCATGATGATGACCAGTCGAATAGCAAAGAAGACGAGGATCCTAATACAGCTGCTATGCCCATGGAATTTCCAAACACCATTCAAGAATTGTCAACAACTGGTGTCGTTGGGTATCAAAATGTGGTCGAAGGTTAGTTGACAAGTGCTTTCATTCAATATTTCTTTTAATGTTTAGGGTGTTTATCTATCTACTGACCGTGATGAATGTTGTGTAGGTGATAGTGTAACTCCGTTTTGGAATGATATTATGCATTACTCATACATTAATTATGAATATCTGAATGAGGATTGAGAATACAATGAGAGAGTATCGTGGTACATGGACCGTTGGGGACGAGTTATTTGTTAAACAAGAATTTGAATCCAAGGAAGCAGTGCATATGGAAGTCAAGTCTTATTGCATGAAATGTAATCATGAAGCTATTGTTGTTGAGAGTACGACTCTGAAGCTTGTGATAAGGTGTAAGAACCATGATGCTCGATGTTCATGGCGAATGAAGGCAATGAAACTGAAGAATGGTTCAAGGTGGGGTTGTGAGCATATGGGTGAGACCTCATAACTATGTCAATTGTAATCTGTCCAAAGATCACAGACAACTAGATTCCGCATTCATTGTTGCATCTATATTAGGTTACTGATATATTTTTTTTTTTAAGTTTGATTCGTACGAGAAAGAATCCATTATATATTATCTTAGGTGTTATCATTGTGGGAAGCATATGAGTCAGTAACGCGTTGCATGCAAAAAAGCATATAGGACACATATGAGCCAATAATGCGTTAGAGACGTGTCATGTACAGAAACATGTTTTCTTCCATAAACGCACATCTTCTGTAGGCTCGTCATAGTCAATCTCCGTTTTACGCACACCTGCCTTGTGCACGACTATATGCATAAACACTTGATGCACGTTTTCCTATATTACGTTTGACCACAAAACTAAACATGTGAAAAATTTCAAAAATTGCATTTGTCAGGTCAAAAAGTTGTTCTCTTATCGGCGCCTGCGTCTCCACTATGATATCTCATTCACCCTCACCAAGGTACGGTTTGTTCTTATTTAAGTTCAGTAATTTTCTACGGAATATTTTTGACATAATATGAATTCAAGCTTCATTTAAAAGTTTAGTTAACAAGAAGATAACAAATCGAATGTGAACAATGTGCTACTGTTTGGTCATTGAGGCAAAATTAACAAAGGGCATTTGCAAGTGGGGTAAGTTATAAAAAGATGATAAGAAGTAAAAAACTTAATTGATAATAAGTATAACATTCCTGTTTGTAAATAGGTCTCGGAACAAAACGTTTTTACTCAAGTTGTTATGTTTATATTAACATATACTCTTAATAACGAATGACAAATTGTTATGTCTATATTCACATACACTTTTACTATCAAATGACTATCAAAGTCTATAGTTAACTGGCTCAAACTGGACTTTCCAAGGTAGCAGCGAAACCAATAAATCCTAACAACGTTAAATAGATATTTATTTTTAAATTTTTCACGAAACTAAATTTTCCCAATAATTAAGAAATTCTGCATACCAAAAAAAAAAAAAAAAAATTCTGCAAACCATTTTTACCAATTATCAAGATCTAAGCAAACAATTTCTCCATAGTTATCATTTTTCTTCAACAACTTTATTCATACATCAAATAAAAAATAAGAGTAGTTTCATTCGAAATAAAAATAAAAAGAGAAAATAGTTCAGAGGTTCAGTGTTATTACTTTTAGTGGTCATTCATATCGAATAAAAGCCGAATGCAAACCTGCAATGGCCAAACTTATCAAACTATTTGACCAACCGCATGAAAAAGAAAACGAAGAGTCTAAGACTATATATACTTCCTTTTAAGACATAAAAATGTCGAAGCTTAAGCATCTGGCAGTGCAGAGAAATTGATTATTACAAGAGATATGGAAAATCCATAAAGAAGGTTAAACATAAAGTTCAAAGCAATACAGCAATAACCACCAAAACCAATACGCTAGTCTAGGATTCCGAAATCCACCTTATTGTTGCAAATGAAGTGTAAAATGAGCTAGCCAGAAGCTGTCTTCTTTTGCTGGAAAACGACTGCAAAGATAGGAACTGCAACACCAATGCTGAAAGCACTGAACACAGCAAGGGACATCTTCAACCCCTGATGCTTCATCCTGTCCAAGTTGTACATGTGCTTTGCGTGCATGTAATATGGCTCATCATGGCCATGTCCACCTCCCATCCTCTTCATGCCAGTTGAATGAAAACCTCTGCTCACTGTCACAACATAATATTGTCCTCTAGTGAGAAGGTTGAAAACTGATGAAAACAGTGACTTTCATGTGTATCTAAAACGACTAAAAGGCTTATATATAATTGAGATCAATAAACATTATTCATGATTGTTAAAATTATAATATTTTAATAAAACAAACGTTTATGAATATCTAAAATCTAAAGGACAGTCCAACATGGCATCATCTCAGTTACAACATACAAACAGCCCAACAGAGCACCTGAGATCAGTCTCTTCTTGATATTGTTGACTTGTCAACTATGCCTTAGATTGAGCTATAATTTTTTATTATTAATCATAATGTCTTCTGGCAATTTTTTATTTTTGAACATTTATATGTGTGTAGTTTAAAATACATATTTTATCCATTATCTTTGGTATAGCGGTCATCTTGCAATTCGTTATTAGCTATAGCATTTTTGGAGTTGTCTGCTCTGTGCCACTATCTGGAATTGACAACTATGACTATTATTATAAAGAATATCATCTTAAAATCTTGAGATAAATCTTTTACACAACTATTTCCTGGGTTTCGAAGGAGTGCTATCTGGAAATTTTAGTAACCTAATGGAATGAAGCTAAGCAAACCATTAGAGCTGTGAGATCGAGATTGGCTTACTGAAATTTCTACTACTGATAATAATATAACTAAATGACTAATACTAGAATAACAAAATATTAAATGCATTAATTGCACTAATATGATAACTAATTCTTCTGTATTTTGCTCTAGTATAATATCAATTACTGGAAAGGGAGCCTTGGCACCACAGTTGATATTGTTACCATGTGAACCCGGAGGCAACATGTTCAACCCATGTAATCAGCCGCAAATGCAAGGTAAGGCTGCCCATGAACCCTGCGCAGAGCGGGAGCTCTATATCACCATGTTATCTTTTATAATATCAGATATTGCTAATTAAACCCAAAGTCCAAGCTTGACCTTATCTCCACAACAACAACAAGCAAGCCATATCCCAGTAGGTGTGTTGACAAGCTCAATTTATCACAATCTCTATGAATTTTTTTGTGTGACAGAAGTTAGATATGCAGCAAGATCTTCAATCATGGAACAAATGAAAGCAGTAATCAAAACTCAAATTGCAACCTTGTAAATATATTAGTAAATATTTAGGAAGCAACTGAACCAAGAAACAGTAGGCACTAAAGACCCAATATATATTTTAAGGATAAGTTTGGGCAGAGAAGAAGGGCCCTTGTTTGGGAGTTTTTAGAGACAAGGGATTAAAAATTGAAGGATTATCATCCAATCTTCCAAAACTTCTCCTTATCGCATTTTCATGAACACTTCATAGATTAAACCCCATTTTGGAAGATTTTAATCATCAAAACTATTTAGCAAAGTGAAGAAAAGTTATTATTAATGTCTCATCCTCTTCCCTTTCCTTCCCCTAAATATTCTTTTGATTCCTTCCCACACCAACTCCCAAACATACATTGAACTAAAAGCTCTATAAACTCAAAAGTTCATTTAGAACTAAAAACCTGATTATAAATATGTGAGTTTAACTGGATAAAAAATAAAAGCTCAGAACTGCAAAGACAGTTGCAAAGTAAATTCACAAGAACCAAACAAAAGCACTCCTGAGACTCAGCATTGAAAACTAACGGTCCCTAATAAACTCTAAAAACAAAGATCTTAAGACAACTTCCTCATAAAGTATAAGATTTAACTCTTCCCTTCCATTTAATAAAACAAAGCTCTTCCAAAAGCCATCAGTTTCTTACTATTATCAACATTTCCAGCAATTAATTGGAAGCAGAAATTATATTCATAGCTGAATTATTCCAATATCCGATATTTCACAGTTTAAAAAAAAGGGCAAGTAAAAGAAAGAAAAACATACAAATACACAATAATAACTTTCAATACTGCACAACCAGCAAAGAACATCAATAAAAAAGATCTTAAGACAAAAATTGCATCATTTTATTGAAAACTAACACATAAAAAAGAAGAAAGAAAGGGGATTTTCACCTGACTTAGAGATCGAGGATTCGGAAGAACCAATTAGCTTTGCAGCAGATCTGAATCCGTTGGTGAAGGCCATGAGTGCAACACAGAGATTGGATTCAAAATGCGACGGCGAAAAAAAGCCCTTATTTTCCTCTACGCTTAACTTTCTGCTTCGTCTGGGTAACACGCTCCCGTTTCGAGTATTTGTAATTCTATTCTTAAAAATAAAAAATAAAAAACCTTTTTTTTATTTTCATCCAGCCCAGTCCTTTCTTTATTTTTTAATTTTTATTTTTTGATTGGGTTGTTCAATTCGAAATAAGATTAATTGAATTAAAATTTAGAAAGCGGATATTCATTAAAAAGAAAGAAAGAAAAGCGAGAGAGAATTTTTTTAGGTAAAATCACCTCTCTCTTATTTTGGATGTTCGAACATAAGTTTTAAGTTATGTCCCACTAATTTCAAAAAATAATTAAGGATAAATAGTTAAATTAATCGTTAAATGACTTTTTTTAGTATATAATTTTTAAATGACTTAAAATCGCTAAGTTATATTTATTAAAGAAAAAACTTCCACATAAATTGTTAAAATATATACTTCGTAAGTGAACGATGATAAAAATTAATTTAATTAGTTTACTAAAATACATATTTCGTTAAGTATTGGCATTATAACAACATTAGTTAAATTAATAACACAAAAATGGAAAAAGCTAAATTAAAAACAAATATTATTTGTAAGGAACTAAAATATTATATTTTAAATTTGAGAAAGTGTTTATCATTTTAAATGACACAAAATTATATAATTTTTAATAAAATTGTTATTTTAGTGTGTTTTTATATTTATTTTTTTATAAAATTAGAAAAAATGAAAAAGAAAGAATATAAAAATATACCAAAACAATATAATTTCATTAAAAATGACATAACTTTGTATTATTGAAAAAAACTTTTTTCTTTTAATTTTATAATAAACAATATTCATTTTCACATTAGTTTTATATTTTATAATAGCGTCGCGCAGACACTTCACACTAATTAAAAAGAAATTATATTAAGAAAAAAAAATCTCTCTCTATATATAGGAAATTTCAACCCACTATAAACTTAAAAAACAAAAGAATCTAGAGTTTCCTCCACCACTAATCAAACCATACCCCACACCACAATACATATTATTATTTATTTTTTTGGTGGAAGACGATGCTACTTGTTTCATACCACTAAAAATTTCATCCAATCCAAACAAAGAACACCAAGCAAAAACTGATTCACAACTCAGTATAGATGGCAACAATCAACCTTGTATTCCCTCTTGTGCACCCAATCATCATAGCCCCACGTTTTCTTCACACCCCATCATCACTATGCGCTCTCACTTCAAATAGATTCACAACTCGTTCTATGGCAAACGATTTCTTAGGTGATTTTGGAGCCAGAGACCCTTTCCCAGCTGAGTTAGAGAGTAAGTTTGGAGAAAAAGTGTTAGGAAATGTGGACACTGAACACAAAATCCTCATCCCAAATATCTCTGCTCTCTCTCTTTCCCAACAAGAGTGCACCCCCACTTCCCCTCTTCAGTCCCCCATGTCAGAAGATGATGCTCAGAAACTCATAAGAAAGGTAACTATTCATTCCCCCTTTTGCTAAATTTTTTTAACTGTATTCTGTAAAAAAAAAAAAAAATTAAAAAAAAAAGTTGGTTCTACATTTGTTATGTGCACAATACAAGCCAAAGTTAGTATATAGCAATTAGTTAGTAGAATCAGTTGCAGTAGTTAGAAGGAGGTTAGATGGTTAGCAATTGGTTAAATCCTCTAATATGATTGGTTAGTAGCTCCTTAGGTGAGCCAGTTCTTGTATATAAATGGTACTCCGTACCCATATGTACTGTTTTGAAGCATGAAGAAAGTAATAAATTCCTTGTTCATCTCTGTTAAAGCTTGCCTTGAAATTACTAGAATTGGTGGTGAGGGATTTGGGTAGTTTGTACGAGGTCATAGATTCAAATCTTACTCCCACTATTGTATCCCAAAAAAAAAAAAAAAAAAATTGCCTTGAAATTACTATAGTGGTTCTTCAAACTTTCAATTATATCTGTTGTATCATGGTGAACATCACTAGTTGGTTGAAGATCTTTACACTTTGAGGCAGAAAACTTAATTTAGAAGCTTTAGCAACCTCATTTGCATGCTTGGGTGATTGAAACAAGGTAGCGGTGGCTGCAAGACATAGTCGTTTTGCACCATACCCTGGTTGTTGAAGGATGGCTGATGAGAAAACAATGGGTTCTTGATTCTGATTAGCTGTTCTCCATTTGTGCATAGAACAACGAAAATTGCTGTTTAGTGGTGTTAAAAATCTGCTTCATTTCTGCTCTAAGTGCTTTCGCCGTTGGTGTTCTTTCCGATCTCTACGCATTTCACCACTCCACCGGAAATTCCCTCTGCCCCTACCGTACTCCAGCTTGATAGTTTCCACCGCCTGGGAAATTTTCAAACGAACAATTTCAACGAAATCTTTCAATTTCTTATTGTACTATGTTCAACTGCTCCTCAATTCCATGTTGGAGATGAAGTTGGTGTTCAACAATGAAAGCACCCAATGTTAGGAGATGAATTCCTAACAGGGAGAAAAAAACACTAAATAAAAGAAAACTAATGAGTTTATTACTTTCTTCATGCCTCAACAGTACATATGGGTACCATTTATATACAAGAATTGGCTCATCTAGGGAGCTACTAACCAATCATATTAGAGGATTTAACCAATTGCTAACCATCTAACCACCGTCTAACTACTGCAACTGATTCTACTAACTAATTGTTATACACTAACTTTGGCTTGTATTGTGCACGTAACAATATTACAGTACTTATTTCCATAAAAGCAGGAAATATTGAACTCAGGGGATGTAGTACTCTGGTGTAATACTATAATGTCATATTTTGGGATGAAGATGTGTAAATCAGGTTTTTATTTTATCTGAGTTTGTGCTGCATATATATAATTACATACTACATGTTGAAAGGAAGAGATATCTGGCACACTCGCCATGTGACCCGTGGTTCATAGGTTCAATTCATGTAATCAGCCTATTGTAAGAGCATATTTTCAGTGCTTTTGTAGTCAGTATTTCTTTTTTAAAGTAGTAAAAGTGGAACTCATATGGCAATAACCATAAAGGAATGAGCAGCAAAAATGGTTTTAGGTGGGTTACTTTTTTCTATCTATAGTAAGTGCTGTACCGAGTGTTCACTGGTATAGTGGTAGGTGGGTTACTTTTTTCTATCTATAGACTATAGTAAGTGTTGTATCGAGTGTTTAGTCATATGGGAGTACTAAACATATTTTCCTCTTATAAATGCAAGGTAAGGCTGCTTACTATAGCCATTTGTGCTGGAAGCCTTATAGCACTACACTTACATGTTGAAAGATAATATATAGGTAAGCTTAAAATCAACGGGGTTGTTTCAGCTGGTTAAGGATCAAAGCACTTGGCTTGTAAGGTTTAGGTTCGATTCTTGTTGCTAGCAATCCCCTTGGTAAGTGATTTGTAAGTACCCTTGTAAGCCCTTTTCTAAAGCCATGAACTCGGAATGGAATAGCCTCCTTTCCTCCAAATTCCAAAATTTATTTTACCATAAATAAATAAAGGTAAGCTTAAAATATATACCAAACATAACTCCTAAGCTTGAGTTGATCCTGGGCTGAACTTTAAATTTGATTATGAAGAGAAAGCGGGTGATGAGAATCAAACACTCACCACTTGGTCAAAGAGGGCTTTCAATTTGTGGAGCTTGTGATCGAAATCTAGATTCTAGTGAATATAATATTTGAATGCTGCTCTGCTCTAAATCTGGTGAATGTAATGTTTATGATCAAATCAATGAGCTAACCATTTTTATGCTGCTCTATTCTGAAAAAATTATTAATATATTTAAATATGGAAAGAAGAACCATTTGTTCATGCTTTTATTTTGGTTCATATACCGCTGATGCCAACTAATTTGGAATAAAAGGTGAATTAATGTTAAAGTTGACGATTTGGTTACCAGTTTTGGTTTTGTATATTAACTTAAAACACAAATTGCCAATATATTGCTTTTGACCTGTTTGCAATGGTTAACCTTTATTTTTATGGGGGCGGTTATGCTTACCTTACCATCATTTTAGGCTTACCACTCTTACTACTTGATTGCTTATCATCGGATTAATTCAAAAATAATGGCAATTAATTTTTTTTATTTTTCAACTGTTGATTTCAAATTGATCCAACAATAACCAATCAGGTAGTAAAATTGGTAAGTCTAAAATGGTGGTAAGTATAACCTTTTCCTATTTTTATTTGGAAAATAAAGTGATGGATAATTGTTCTAGAATATTTCTTTTTGTTGCTTTAAAGTTTTAAGTGGCAAATACTGGTATGCATATCAATTCGCTCTTTATTTTATTTATTTAGTAATCAAAATGAAAATAATTTTAAAACTTAAATAACTACCTGATTATCATTTTTTATTTAAAGAAACAGGAAGATTAGATTATTAGAATATATCCCTCACTATTTACTTGTTTTCTAGGATAAAGTTTGTATGATAAACGTTAAACATTTAAACCAAGTTTTATATTAAATTAGACGAAACTTTAAAGTTAAAAATGTTGAGCTTATTCAATTGTTTTATAATTGAGAAGATTGATCATACATTCTTGTTAGATTGTTTCTTCCCTATTATTGTTAACAATTACTCTAATAATATTTTATTTAACTTCCTGTTTTCATAGTCTTCCATTCATGAACACTTGTTAGTAAGCTTGCTTTTCTCATTTAATTGTGTATGCAGCCTATTTGACTTGATAATCAAATCTGATACACATGTTTAAAACAAGGTATAAGAAAGCTTACCATAAGAAACTATTTATTTACTTTTTGTTCAATATCTTTGATATTTTGATCACAAGTTCTTTTGCAGGCAATGAAGCAAATTTGATAGAAGTCCATTTTACTTTTCTAGCTTCTTAAACTGATTTTCTCTTCATTTTTGTAGGTTTTGGGTTGGAGACTTATGCATGAGGAAAGTGGACTTAAACTTCAATGCTTGTGGAAATTGAGAGATTTTAAATGTGGAGTTGAACTCATCAACAGAATCTCCAAGGTTGCAGAGGCTGCAGGCCATTTCCCAAATATCCACTTGGAACAACCAAATCAAGTCAGAGCAGAACTATGGACAGCTTCCATTGGTAAGCGATAAACATGTAACCTTAGTATGTACAAGTACAACATTCAAACTTGGTGATTTTGATTTTAGTTGCTTCTGATTAAAATCCCGATGTATTTATTGCTTTCATTTAGCATTTATTTTAGTTATGGATTAGAGGATAAGCCTTGGAGAAGTGACAAGATTGCTCTTTGTGACCGGAAGGTCTCAAGGTTGAAAATATAGGGATAAGGTTTATCCCTACCCTCGTAAAGTCAGGGAGCCTTGAATACTAAATTTGCCTCTTTGTTTTAAGTTATTGGTTGCTAGTTCACCATTCGGGGTTCAACATCCCCTAGTAGAACATTACTTTACCATTCTCCTTTCCTTTGGGCTCCCTAGTGGAGATCCCTTAAGCACCACTTTAGAGTTGGGGCCTCAACTTGGCCCTAGCAGGGTCTAATACCAAAGAAAATGTTCTCATCTTTCAACCTGACACATGTTCAAAATTTTGCAGGAGGATTAAGTATGAATGATTTCATTGTAGCTGCAAAGATAGATGAAATAAAGACATCAGATCTTGTCCCAAGGAAGAGAGTTTGGGCGTGATGCCCACTTTAACTCCATGAATCATTTTGCATTGAGATTTTCTTCAACACAGAATTACCACTAATTTGTGTTATTTGATGAAATCTATCATTCTTTGCCCTCATTTTAAGTGTTTTGCCCTGAAGCCTGTGTACATGTGTCATGACTTTTCTTATTTGATAAGTGTAAATGACTCTCAGCATCCGAAACAGTTTTTTTACAAGATTCATTGAATCAAGAGCATCAATATTGTTGTAACTTTTTGAAGCCCTAAAAATATTTGCAAATATACATGAGCATTACATTAATAAAATCGATTTTAGAGAGAGAGAGAGAGAGAGAGAGAGAGAGTAAATTCTATGTATTGAAAATTGTACCTAATCTAATTGCAAAATTATGAAATTATGATATCAAGATAAAATGGAGTAAATAAAAATCATTTCTTGTTAAATCTCAGCTAGTGAGGGTGAGGTGAGGTGAGGGAAGTCTTTATACATAATCTTGTCTCTTGTATATTTGTAAAGAAATTTTTGCCTGGATTCAAAGGATTTATTAATGAAGCATTGAAAATAATATTGAATTATATAGTTCTATTTTTCTAATAATAATAAATTATCAAATTATCAATTGGATTCATGATAGGTAATTACAATTGATATCTAATGAATATCATCAAATGGCATAAATAAGTTCAAAGCATGAGAATCAACAAAAATGACTAAACTCACTTAAAATTTAATCATATGACAAACAAAATCAGTCAACACTTCATCTTCCCCTTAGTACAAAGATTTAGTAGACATAGTGAAGAGATTAATCAGGCAAATATTCTCACTATTCTTCATTGGACAATTTTTTCCTTCTATGTGTTCTTCAATGCCAATTCTCATCTTCTTATCCTATATCTTGCGGTGGTGTTGCGATTTCTGGGGTAGCTTTTTTTTTATTCTTTCTACTTTTACCAATTTTTTTTCCTGTACAAGCAGGAACTAGGCCCCAAGGAAAATAGGAAAAAAAAACACTAAAAAACATAAGGAAGCAGTACAACATCTGCAGTATCTCCAGGGTCAAGGAGGTCTGCAGCAATGAGGTTCACCAATTCCAGATGAGGAGAGGATATCAAGTTGAAGCCAAAGTTCCTGTTGATAGCCTCTTTTCCTAGCCAATCTGCACATTTGTTGGTGGATGTCTTTACATGAGAAAGAGTAATGTTCAAATCTTTGTTCAACCAGAATCGAATTTTACCTATCAAAGAGAGCTTTTGAGAATCATTACCACAATTGGTAAGTAAGCTTATAGCTCGAAGAGAGTCACTTTCCACATTTAAATTCCTCCATCCCCGTTTCCAAGCCACCATTAGACCATGATAGACAAGCCACAATTCTGTTTGTAAAGGAGAGCAAGTACCTTAAATATAGAGAAGCCACCAATCTAAGAGCAATTATTGTCCCTAATACCCCCACAAGCAGCCTTCACACCTACTGCAACAACACCAATATTAAGCTCTTGAGATATATAAAAACCATTAATATAACTTCACCCAACAGCTTAAGCTTTTGGGTTGAATTGGTACATTACATGGTATCAGAGCCTCGGTATACCGGGTTCGATCCTCAGCGCCCCCCACTTTCTTTTTAGTTGAATTTCTTTCTTCGCACAGATAGGTGGGCCTGTGCATCATCCACCCTTCAAGCCTAGTGGACTCTCATGTGAGGAGGCCTGTTGAGATATATAAAACCATTAATATAGTCTCACCCAACAGCTTAAGCTTGTCGAATTGGTACTTTACATGGTATTTGAAAAAGGGTAATGAAATATATTATTGAATTGTATGTAAACTGTACAAATGGTTCTCTATTTAAAGAGATTACATGACCTAATGGGCTAAGCCCAATACAACAAATAAATAAATATTATTATTTACAACACTCCCCCTCAAGTTGAGGAATAGATATTTATCATTCACAGCTTGCTAGTAAGCTCTTAAAATATGTCTGAAGGAAGTCTTTTTATCAATACATCAGCTAATTGACGTCCAGTGGGAATGTATGGAGTGGTAATCAACCTGCTATCAAGTTTCTCTTTGATGAAATGGCGGTCGACCTCAATATGTTTAGTCCGATCATGTTGAACTGGATTATGAGCTATACAAATAGCGAACTTGTTATCGTATAACAGCTTCATAGGTCCCTCACATTTTATTTTGAGATCATCAAGTACAATTTTCAGCCACAATAATTCACAAATGCCTTGAGTCATAGCTCGAAATTCATCCTTTGCACTTGATCTGGCAATTACATCTTGTTTCTTACTTCTCCACGTCATCAAGTTACCACAAAGAAATATACAATAACCGGTGGTAGAACGACGGTCAGTCACAGATCCAGCATAATCAGCATCAGTGTAAACTTCTAAAGAGAGATCGCCATCACGCCGGAATAATAGTCCTTTACCAGGAGTGGCTTTAAGATACTGAAGAATTTTCTCCACTGCCTGCATGTGTTTCTCCTATGGATCGTGCATAAACTGACTGACAACACTAACAGCATAAGCTAGGTCTGGTCTAGTATTAGCGAGATATATCAGTTCCCAACTAGCCGTTGATATTGTCCTTTATCAACTGGAGGACTCTCCTCTTCATAACCTATCTTGTGATTCTGCTCAATAGGAGTATTCGAGGGTTTACACCCAAGCTTTCCTGCTTCTTTGAGAAGATCAAGAACATATTTCCTCTAGCTGATAAAAATTTCTTTGTTTGAAAATCCCTAGGAAATATCTCAATTTCCCAAGGTCTTTAACTTCAAACTCAGAGGCTAGTCGTGTTTGCAGAATATGTCTCTCCATAAAATCATCAACTGTTATAATAATATCATCAACATATACAAGGAGCACAGTGAGCTTCCCATCTTGGGAGTGCTTAAAGAAAAGAGTATGATCTCCTTGACTCTGTTTGTATCCTAAAGTCATCATAACCTTAGTAAACCTCTCAAACCAGGCATGAGGTGACTGCTTCAATCCATACAAGGCTTTTCTTAATCTACAAACTTTATTTTCTCCGTCCACAAAATTAAAACTTGGCGGGATTTCCTTGTAGACTTCTGCTTCTAACTCGCCATTAAGGAAAGCATTCTTCACATCAAATTGATTTGTATCCCAATTGTAATGGGCAGCAAGGGATAACAAGACTCTCACCGTATTCATCTTTGCAACTGGAGCAAAGGTTTCTTCATAATCAATGCCATAGGTCTGAGTGTAACCCTTGGCGACTAAATGAGCCTTATATCTCTCAAGAGTGCCATCAGAATTATACTTTAGGGCATAAACTCATCTGCACCCTACTGCTTTCTTTCTATTGGGTCTATCAATTGTTAGTATATGGATGTCCTAGAGACAATCTTTTGATTAGATTAGGACATGTGTGGACCTTTTATTTTGTCACAAATAAATATAAGCATTATTTATCCTGTTTCATATTTTATCTCGATATTATTAATATTATATGAGTAACTGGATAAACCCCTTGGAATAGAATAGGTATCTCTTGAGTATCTGTGATGAGATCACGATCATGAGGATTCAAGGATACCAGATGTTTATTCCTAATTTTATGTTCCTAGTCCAGAGACATTGAGAATGGGATCAGTAATCTCGGATAAGACTAGCACGACTTATCTACTTGTATTCGGATACAAGGTAAAGACCTCATGAGCTACAGATATGGAGATGTTTTAGCTAAAGTCGTGGGTGGACCTATAAGGGTATAGCTCGCACTGAACAGTCCCACAAAGAGACTCTATGAGGAAATCTCACAAATAGTATCATTAGAGCAGTCTCTTAATATTTGGGTATGTCTTTCCTTAGATCAGAAGTTTTCACCTAGACTGTGTTCTGGAAGGCATGCTTTAATTGTATACCTCGTCTGCTTGAAACATGGAGACTTATAGGTATACTTTTGGGCATGTCCTGAAAGAGCACGGGCCTAGGGTGATAAGCTGAAGGAATTCGTCAAATCTCTGTGAGGGATTAGGTTATCTGTAAACCGGAGAAATCAGGATGGCATTTACAGGACTCGGGAATCTATGCATAGTAAAAGAGATCATAAGATGATCTGCCTTTAGAGTCAGTAAATTGAAGATTTCTTATTTCGAATTAAAGCTTACCCTAAACCGCAAGGGTTGATACGTATCCCCACCCTAGGTTTAAAGGGAAGGTAACCGAGACGAAAGGAAATACATACGGTAACCAAATATATGTAATAGGATGATCATGTCATTAACCTAACTAGCTCTGGGGCAACAAAGCATTGCTAGTGCTCTGTGTTGTCATTAAATGGGTTGTGGGCTTGTTGGGCCCAAGCCCATTTATGTCAGTGGCTATGTTGGGTCTAATGGGTCACATACTAACACCTTATTGTCTTTATGATATAGCATTAAAGGTATTGGGCCTAATAATGGTTGTTAGCCCAAGAAGAAGTTTGGAAGCCCACCTAAGAGGGAAAGGGTGCATGGTAGTAGTAATGGGCTTGGATGGTCCAAGACATTATTAATTAATTTAATTAGTTAAATTAATTATCAAAAATTTAAATTTTGAATTTGAATTTTGAATTTAAATGTTTGAACGTTTGAATTTAAATGTTTGAATTTGAATTTGAATTGGCTGTGAAAGGTTGTTTCATAACAAAATGATAAGATGAGATCTTGATGGATCAAATCCCAAGTATCAAGAGAAGATCTTTGGATATCTTCTAGCAAGATTGGGGCGCTGATTTGGTGATCCTTTGATGGTCATATGGTCAACCAAATAAGCTCCAATCAGATTTGGTTTGTTGAGAGAATAAGTGAGTGAGTTGGTTCAATTTGAATTGCAACTACTCAATGTATTTGGACTGTTTTTGGGCTGAATAAGGGCGCAACAAATGGCTGGCCATATGATGGTTATTAAGTCAGATTTTTGACTAGGTATATACTTAGTCTCATGAGGATATGATAGGAGGTTATTGGCTAGATTTGAATTGCAACAACTCCACTTATTCCTCCACCATTAGGCGCTACATAGGTCAGATTTTTGGGAGAAAAATCTAATTCAATTCAATCATTCTCTTATCTCAAAAAGTGCATCATTTTGTTAGGTTCTCTTAAGGATTTTTCGAAAATTACCTAGCCTCTTCTCATAGAACTTCATGCGCCACTTTGTGAGTCTTCATGCTGAAAATTCACTCAACTAAACACCTTGAAACCTAAGCCTCTTTCTCTCCTATTGGACGCCTAGC